TTTTTATTATAGAATGATCATAGTGTATGATGTCGAGTTAGAGTTACAAGTTTCACAATAGATGATGTTTACAAGAGTACAAAATTTCCTAGCTAAAATGCTAGTTGTGACATCATCCCCCCGTTAGAGGGAATTTCGTCCCGAAATTCTTTCGAAAGCTAGGATCATAAATGAGAGAATAGGAGAGGGTGCTTCTGCTTCATCTGGTTCTCGTGTTTCCATGTGAATTCCAGTTCACGCTTAGCGTTCCAATGAACCTTCCCAATCGGAATGCGGCTCTGCTTCGTACGCTTCAGCCATCGGTTTGAGGGTGGTAAGTAATGCTCATGTCTAGCTGTGTTCCCATAGCCTTCTGAAGTGACTGTCAAAATCTGAAGTAAATCCGTTATTCCTGATGGGTTTTCTACACAAGAACATCCTATGTGCTCATACAAACCCTAATGCTTGGATCTAGGTTTCTCTATTGTACATGCAATTCATCCAAGACTTATAAACCCTAGATCTAGCATACTAATTTCGAAATTAACATGTAAGAATAGATCTAGATGATTACCTCTTCAAGAATGGCTTGAATCTTCTTGTCTTGGAGCTTAGAGTCACAAGTGTCACTCCTCTAATGGCTTACAAACACCACAAGCAAGAGGATGAACAAAGAGAAAAAGGAGGAGGCACCAAAAACGTTCTAGGGTTCTTCCAAGAGAGTTCGCCACGTTTTTGGGGCCATATGGGTCTTTATATAGTGAGACTATTAGGGTTATCAAACAAGGAAACCCTAATTTGACTGCTTAGGCTCCAAGAAGCCCATGGACTCCCTTTAGAACACCCCTTGGACGAATTCCTTATGGGCTTTCCATAGAATTCGTCCAACCTATGTTCCAAGGTGATCCATAGCCCAATTGCAATTATCTTATAATTACAATTCTAGTCCCCTAAGTTTAATTAATCTCTTTTAGTCACAAAACTAACTAATTAATTCTTGACTAATATTAATTAAACAATATGATTTTTACTTTAATATATTATTCATAAAAATATTAATAAATCATAATTAATCCTCTCTCCTCGTAAATCATCTTATCAAGTTGCTTTGGTGAAGGCAACCCAAAAAGACCATGCACAACCGGGTCAAATACTTACTAAATATAGTTACGGGCTTAGACACTAATCCAACAGTCTCCCACTTGGATAAGTCTAGTAACTATAAATGCAAGTACAATCCGATTAGCAATCGTAGCTCTCAAAGACGCTGTCGAACTCTGATCTTATCAGCAACCTGTCCTTTAGATAAGGGATCATATATTCCTCTATTCTAGATATCATATGAACTGAGACATGGATTTTAATCATACTCTCTATTCATGTGTTGTTTCCCGATTTCCGATTTATGACAACTGACAACAGACTACAATTGAACACATCAACTCAGTCCCGGCTTGGCCAAGCGCTTAGGGTGTCATCCCTAAATCATCGAGGGGCCCACATATATCGCTTTTATCCCAATTTGGGTAAAAGGAATGGATAAACTTCGACTCGAATGCTCTCTTGTATCTACTCATCAAATCACACACAACAATATGTTTTATAACACCAAGTTACTGGTGCGTTTACATATTATCAATGTGCAACCGACTTGCAGAATACAACTCACACATCTCGGTTTTAAGAATATAAGATATTATCGTCTCACCAATCACTTGTGATAAAATCTATGAAGCGATCCAAGTGAGTGTGGTTTAATCCAATACTCTAATCCTATAGCAGCACTCATGAACTCTGTAGCAAACTTGTGCTATGTCTAAACGCTTTAGACAATCTACAACCGGATTCATGACAGTCTTCTTTCATACCTACTTCCAAAAGTACGAGCGACTATGGAGGGTTTGAATAATCTTATTATTCTGGAAGTCTCCGGATATTCAAGATCAGAGCAGATCTAACCATATATGAGAAACCATTGCACCTTTGACTTCAGATCTAATATGTTGATGGCAGTTGATGAGTTTTATGACAATCTGAGGTGAGGAGGTGGTGATGGTGGAAGTGATCTGATATGGTGGTGGAACCACTAGTGTCCACCATGAAATGTTTCATACATACAATATCTATGCCTGAAATTACACCAAACACATCAGATTTGACCAGATCTAACCAAATATGAGAAATTGGTATGTTTTTGCTTCAGATCAAAAAGGTTGATGACGGTTGGTTACTTTTCTGACATCTTTGGCTTTAGATCTGAAAGGTCGAGGGAGGCGACACACGGTTTTCTGGTGCTTTGGAGATGTCAGAGGTCAGAAGGTGGTCGGAAATGAAGCACGACTCATAGATTTGAAGTAATAGAAGGATGACGTTGACGATAAGGGCAGATCTAAATGTGAATGTTCTAGATCTGAAGTTTGGCGGTTGGTGGTTGCGAGATCGACGTCGATGGCAAGAGGTTGTGGTGAGGGGCGATGAAAGCATATCTGAAGGCAGATGATCTAGATCTGAAGACGAATGTTCTAGATCTGATCGGATTTGGATAGATCTGGATTAGGAACACCACCGAAAATGAAAAAAAAACACTAGAATCCTTCAGATTTGTTGGAAGTCGTTGGAGAAGAACGTAACGACGGTGATAATGAGTTTATTCGGCGACAGGAGACAACGGCATGGCGGGGACGGTAGGTGGCGGTGGTGGATAGTCACCGGAGATTGGTGGCGGCGGTATTGTACAATCGTCGGAGTTAGGTGGTGGTAGATGTTGTAGAAGAAGGAAGTGTTTGAAAGTTGAGAGAATTTGAAAACTTATGAGAAAGTGTTTGGTGAAAATGTTTAAATATGATGTTAAATGATAAGAAAAAATGTAGATTGACCAAAATACCCTTAATGAAGTGGTTCTTAACCTTTTGGGTTCTCATTAGATCTTTTACTTATATATATATATATATATATATATATATATATATATATATATATATATATATATATATATGCTAGATTCATGTATTCTTTACATCTATTGTGTGTTAAAATGCACCAATAAAAATTTAGTGAAAGTTAAATTATTATTAAATCAAATAAATATAGATATTAAATAATTTCCATAATTGTATGTATATTAAATAATATCCATAATTATAATTCTTTTTTTATGAAAATTAATTAAATTCATCATTAATGTCAGCAATAATATTATTTCAGAATGAATTCGTATCTAGGTTTTCATGTATGAGTTCGTGTTTTGTTTTCAGGACCCACTCACTTAAAATACAACAAAGTTGTCTGGACCATATAGAACGAGAGTGTATTCTACAAGAATACACTCTTATTCTGCTAGAATATACTATCATTCTGCTAGAATAAACTCTCGTTCACCATGTTTCAAACAACTTTGTTGTGTTTTGTTTCAAGTGAGTGACTACTGAAACAAAACATGAACCCATATATGAAAACATAGATGCGAATTCATTCTGAAAAAATATTATTGCAGACATTAATGACGAATTTAATTAGTTTCCATAAAAAAAATTATAATTATGGATATTATTTAATATACATACAATTATGGAAATTATTTAATATCTATCTTTATTTAATTAAATAATAATTTAATTTTTACTAAATTTCTATTGGTGCATTCTAGCACATAATAGATGTGGGAAACACATGAACTTAGCTACCAATGAGCTTCTAGCCCAGCGGTATCAGATGGTGCTCTCCCTCCTTGAGGTTGAGGGTTCAAGTCTCGTGGTGGACATATGTGAAATTAGGTGTTAGTTTAGGAGTAGATTATAATATTTGTATTTGCCGGTTAAAAAAAAACATGAACTTAGCTATATATATATATATATATATATATATATATATATATTATATATATATATATCCCCAAAAGATACATGTTTAAATGTTAAACTAGTTCAAAAAATTAAAATTTTAATCGTGAAAATCTTGAAGATAAGAATAAGATATAAAAAAGCATAAACAATACGTATATCCAAAATCTTACTTTAGTTTTAGGTTGAGTATGTTAGATAAAGTATAAAATAAACATATCAACCTTGAAATTCTTGATTTTTTTTTCTCTTTTTAAGTCAATTTGGATCATTGACTAAGTTTGACCAAGTTTGACAGAATTCCGAGTTGGCTTAACTCGTCTTAGTAAGAGGCAGAGTCCGAGTACTCGCCCGAATTGACCGAGTTTTACAACACTAGTTGTATATAGTCACAATGATATTGTTTCTTTTTTCTACTTAAAAGATGTTTTCTTTCTAATTCTTGTGGTTTCCATCAACCTGATTTATAGTTACTACTTAATAAATTAAAGTTGATTACACAATCGATGCTTTAATCAATTTCAAGTTATAATACATACCGCAAAAACAAGACATTACTAGTTCATTTTATTAGGATCTCTCATCACCATTTTGCAAAGTTTAAAAATCATATATAACATCTCAATCTTAACAATCTTTCGATAGAACCTCTCATACGTCAAACCTTAATTTTACACATAATTAATATATTTTTTTTAATATAAAATGCCACATCACCTGTTGCATTTTGCAACCTGGGAAGTGACACGGAAACCAACTAACTCATTAGGCCAAATTAAAAATTGAGAATTTGAGATAATGCAATGTCTTTACAAAAAAGATATTAGCATCGCTTTTTCATGAAGTTCAATCCTCAATGGCTTTCATATGATTTTCTCAGTTATTTTATTATCAGACAAATTGCATATAAAAAAATATATATCGGTCAACTTCTGTTTTAAGTAACATACTATCAAAATCATCAACGTAACCTGTAAATATGCATTGAAAGTAAAAAGGCATTCTACAAACCAAGGCATTCTACGTGTTTTATCTCCCTCAATTTTACACCTTTCATTCCTAAATCTCCATGCAAGTGTCATTTTTATTGAAGCAAAAAGTTTTTATTTTTATTTTTATTTTTTTATTTATAATTTGAAACCCAAATTATGTATTTTTAAGATAACTCATCATTGTATTTTGGTCTTCCAATAAATACATTGCTATTATGGGTAAAACATAAGTATGTTGCTATTAATAGATAATGGTATATATAAGTTAACATACTTACTTTACCATTTAAATAAATATTAAAAAAAATTGTTAAAACTTTTTGACTTTCACAAATGCTCCTTGCTTCATTCCAGATTCTAGCATCGCATCAAGAACTGCAACATCTCGTGCACCTTCAACATACGAGTAGCGACCCTCACCTTCAATCTTACCACCCTTCTACACCACCATATCCAAAAAATTATATTTCATTTTACAAATTTCAATTTTTTTTTGAATTTTGTGTTATTTAATAAATAAAATACCTCAAGGGTGCCTATTGAGATGTCACTTAGAAATGATTTAAGCTCTTCAGTCACCCCACTAAATGGATAAAAATTGCTCTTTGTTTCCCCATTTCCACCAAACAATGTAGTCTGTCCAATAAGTGTAAAAATTATACTTTTGGATTATAAATTTAATTTATTTAAAATCGTGAAGTTGTATTAAAAAGATTTTACATAAGATCTAATTACTAAATTACCACATAGCCATGTCGCCCATTATTATTTCCTCGTTCTACTTGCACAGTTCCACTTAAGCCAACAACCCGCCACACAATCTATACAAAATATATATCCAAATACATTTTTTTTATTATCAATTAATAGATTTAATTTAACCAAATTAATTAGCATATAAAAATTTGTAACCTTCGGTGATTTTGAGGATACCAACATTACAAAAACTCCCGAACACCCGTTTTCCAGTTGACTAGAGAAGAAAAAAAAAATGTTTTTTTAGAATATAAAAAATTTCAAGAAAAATTGGAAATGGTAAGAAAATTATATTATTTATATTTACAATAAAGAGGAAATGGTATCTGGTGGAGGGAGAGTCATATCCACATGAGATGTCATAGCTGACACTGAAGCTACTTCACATCCAACAAGCTGTTTAAGTAAACATGATTACATGAATATTGTTTTTTTTTTAATTATAAAATGCAGAAATTCAATAAAAAATGGAAATTAAAAAAAAAAAAGATAGAAAATTATTTAATTACCATTCTTAACCCTGCAATGTAATGTACACCCATATCCAGAATGAACCCTCCCTGCCACATATGTAGAGATAGAGAGAGTAAACAAACTGTTTAAACTTGATCATGAGTAAATGACCATTTTACCCTTCTTGATGCTCACAGTAAAATTGCGTCTCCATGAACTTGAGAAATAAGGATTTGAACTGTTCATTGACCCTTCGATGATTACTTGGACACTCATCATATCTCCAATTTCAGACATCAACTTTTTGCTCTGTGAATTTTAAATTTTAATAATAATAAATTAGTCTTTAATAATATAGATGCAAACAAAATGAAGAATATAAGAAGTACCTCTACAAATGCAGGCTCAAATCGGTAATTTTCTGCAACAGCCCATATTTTTTGAGCAGATGGATTGGTGTAAAGAGATTTATAACATGATAATGCAGTTTCCACCTCACTAATGGCTGCAATAGAAATCATGAAGCTCTTGAAGACTAATTACACAACAATAAGAGTCCAAATTTGGAAATAGGATCTCACTTACAAGCAGCAGCAGGTTTCTCTTCAGAGCCACAATTCAAGAGAAGAATCATGTAAGGAAGCAAAAGAATGAGAGATGTCAGTTTCAAATTATTAGACTGATGTTCTTTAACGGCTTACCTTGAAGAACATGCTTTCCTGCTTTCAGAAGCTTTAGCGACATGTCCACCTGTATTATATGGGGAAGAATTTCAGATGATTATGAGTTGCAATCTCAACATTCACAAAGTATGATTTTCACTAAATACACATCTTTTTTTCCATTCGATTGATGTGAATATCTGATATGTTCTGTATTCTCCAAAAACATACACAGATCATACAAAATTGAACCTGAATTTGGCCAGCAAGAGCAACAACAACGCCAAAAATGTTTGAATCTCGAATAATTTCATCGAGACCATGGTCTCCCCATTTACACTCTACATTAGGAAATACCTTCCGAGCAATGTCAGCAGCCTCCATTGACGATTTCTACACAATTTTTTTTAGATCATCGTTATCGTTTATCAAACTAATCCACGATACAATCAGCTGTTACGCTCTTATTCCATTGAAATAAGCTAGTAAGAATTACCTCGGAGCGGCTCCATATAGCTTTGAGAACGACGAGGTCCGAGATCTCGGCGAGCCTGGGTAGGTATTGAGATTTGACGAAGATTCCGGCACCTATAATGGCGATCTGAGGAGGCTCTTGAGCCATTATTGACTACGATTTCTACTGATACTGACTTCAAATTCAGGTACTGAAGAATAATTTTGATTCTTGATTCGTGTAGGAATTAGGATGGAGATTTGAGAACAAGATCGGCTGGTTAGTAGTTAAAATCCGGTTCGATTTTCAATAAATTGAGCCCAACATTCATCTTTCCAAGTGGGCCTAGACCTCAAAAAGGTTCAACTACGTACACATGAAAATGGAGTTTGTTGCATTCATCAATTATTATTATTATTATATATATATATATATATAAAAAGTAGAGTACATAGGAACACTGTATTTTTTTTTTTTTTTTGAAGTTTTGCCATAGTATTTATATATTTTGGCAGCTTAGCCCCTCTGATTGAGAACAGTAACAAAGTACAATGCAATTGGATGCATTTACCACCAAAACTTGGTAAATGCCACAGACAACATAGTTCTACCAAAGTGAGAGGAAGAAGATGAAAAATGAATAAGAGGAAATAGCTAACCTGTTGCTGAATCTGTGATCTCTGATATTTGATTGGAGGTGAAACGGGAAGAAGAATGAAGAATGGAGAATGGTTAATTTAGTTCACATAGAGGTATAAATGAATGACAAATAAAATCCATGATTTTTTTTGATATTGGAGAGAGAAATAATCGATAATTTTGGAATGTTAAAAAGGTTTAATTGAATTAAAATAGCTATCTCTAAATTATGTGCATTATAATGGTTTCTAATTGAATTTGAAAATTGTGTAGATGAACTTTAACATGGATATGATATGATATGGAAAATAGTAAGAGATATAATGACAGGTAAATATGCATAACTTTTAAAAAAATTAGAAATATTATTTTTCCTGATTTAGTGGGAATAATGATTGTTTCTAATATTAACTTGCAGAAAATCAGGAATAAGAATCATCTAATAGGACTGAACAGTCGGGTTTAATGGGCATGACGTTTAGGACATCCACAATGCATTGAACTTCATAGAGTTCAATGGATTGACACATCATTTTTCTACATTCCATACAACTTAATCAATTTTTTCCTACAATGCATTGAACTCTACAAAGTTCAATAGAAAGTTACAAAAGCTAATTTATTGTATGTATTTAAGATTAAAAAACTTTCCTTTTTCCCATTGAAGAGTTCAATGTTCATTAAACTCCAAATTCATTGAATGTCAATGTGACATCTCACTATGATAGAGTTTCATCCATTGAATAACAACTAGACTTGCTACCTCATTCAACCCTCCCATTAAACTTACAATTGTGAATGCTTTTATATTATTAGCATAAAGGCATAATCAGAATTTCAGTTTGATAATGTAGGCGGGAGAAAAAGTTGGGGGAGGGGGGTTGAGGAGTTGCCAGGTGACATTAGATGTACCCTCTCTCTCTCTCTCTCTCTCTCTATATATATATATATATATATATATATATATATATATCTATATATATATATATATATAATATATATATATATATGCAGAGAGAGAGAGAGAGGAGAAAGAGAGAGGTAGATTGGGTAGTATTTTATTTTGAGAAATTAAATACCTGTTGTTCATATTTTTCTTCCTACATATTTAAGATGATGACAAGTATACAAATTTTACATCCCAATCAAATTTAAATTAAATTAAATGACACTTGTTGTAACGCCCACGTTTCTCGCTAGGCATATCCTATAAAAATATGTATTTACGTCGGTCGACAAATATAAACTTCTTGTGAATAAATAAAATAAAAATAATTCAAACATAATACGTGTTTATATAAATGTGATTTATTTATAAATTATGTGTATATTTGTGTGAAAACTTATTTTTAAAATTTAATAAATAGGGTTAAATAAAAGTTTAAAAATAAAAGATCATTTAGAATACTAATCTAAATGAAAGCGGTAGAGACCGTAACTATTAGCCCGTCGATATAAAGAACAAAAATAAATATATATTAGATATATTTTCGAGATATAACTCCCGAAAATAAACTGTCTACGTATATTTTACGACGTTAATAATAAATTATAAAATTTGATATGTTGTAAAATAATATTTATTATAAGTTTGGTAATATTTGTCATTTAATAATATTATAAGTGTCTTAATTAAACTAATCGTTTTGAAAGATTATAAATGAAATGGATTAGTTATTAGTTTTAATAAGAAATGTATATATTTGTGAGTTTATAAACTATGAATTAAAAATATATATTACATATACTTGCAGACTAAGTTAAAAATAGTGATAAGATGAAAATTATACTTATACGTGTCAATAAGGAAAGATACGTGTCTAATAAATGATGGTGCAACCTCAAGTAATGGGTGGTTAGGTTCCAAAAATTGTATGGTAACAAAGCTTTGATGATCTAAGAACTATGAATCGAATTCATAGTATATATAGTTTCATAGTATATATAGTTTGTATCCCACTCAAATTTTCATTACTCACATATATTTAGAAACCAATACAACAACGGATAAGGTTTTTGACAATATAATAAGTTGGCAAGTGTTGAACTTGAAGTCACGATAATAGTTAGTTTCCACTAACTAGCCAAGTGAGTACATAGTTATTTTCATCTTACACATAAATATGAAGTATTTTATATAAATTACGTGCTATGTGTGCATATTATCTGTATACTTGCTATCTATGCTGGATGAAGAATTTTATACATGTTTTAAATTATTTAAACTGTATATGTATTTTTATCTACAAATATGTTGGGTATAACATGGGTAGATAGTTGATGTGTGATTAAATAAAATGATGAGAGGCCTCGATGTTATTGTGATCCAGTCATCTAGCGGAGTATGAATGACGACCACAGACTTTTCAAGACAGTCCAGTGGAACGCTGGCAGGCTCGCAACCTGTAGGTGTTAATGAGCTTGGGTGTTCATTTGTTGTACTCCATCCCCCACATGGTTGCCTTATTTGACATAAATTGCTGGGAAACCCCCAAAGCAGTGTTGTCGCCCCGATGAAAATCCTTAGACTAGGTCCCTTGTGATAGTTGTTTTAGGGACGTAAAGTGAGGATAACGAGAATAGATAATCGGGTTATTATTGTTTGATGAAATTAATAAATTTATTTATTGTGGGTTGAAAACCCTATATGCTCACCAGGCTCCCAAGCCTGACCCACTCAGTTTTCTTTGTATTATAGGTAGTGGCGCGAGAGCATAAGGTGAACGACTTATCAAGATATTTTGATTATAGGCCTGTAGTGTATATAACTGTTGTAAGGCTTATAATGTGCCGTTTATGCTGGTCTGTATCGGAACATGACATCCCGAGTTTTGTTATATAATGAAAATACATTTCTTTAAGAAATGCCTTGGTAAATCTTATTTTATAATATTTCGTTTTGGGAACAAATTCCTCAACTCTTTTAATCAAAGGATTACTCTGAAATTATTTTAAAAGCATAAATTAAACCGGTCTTTTCTGGCCGTGAATTTGGGGATGTCACACTTGTCAAAATCTAAAATAGGTAGAAAGATAATATGCACAAAAAGTAGGAGGATATTTAATTTCTCTTTTATTTTTGTCATTTTTTTAATTGTTGTAATAAAACGAAAATGACATCAAAATAAAATGGGTAACCCCGTCAATTTAGTTATTTTCAAACAAAATTGGATCAAAATCAAAATAAAATTATTATCTTGGACTAAAGGTGCTAGTCTAAAACATTTTGGACCTAAGTAACAATTTTCAACTAACACAACCATTATTTTTGCAATTTTGATTTTAATTTAAGAAGCCATATGTTGTTGTCGATTGCAAACCAAAATTATTAAGATCATGATCATATGTAGGATCATTTTCGGGTTTGCAAGATCGGAATCGTAAGATCGAGATCGAGATATTATGATCCCACTGAAATGTCAACCACTTTACAATTTACCGTTCCTAATAAGAACCGTAATCGATAAGAGTAAGAAGCATTATCAATCAGTTTACGGTTCAGATGATATGTATTAAATAAAGTTATTCTTGATTAAAATCTGGGTAAGAAAACTGGGCCAATCAGTAAACGAGTAAAAAAATGAAAATTCAAGTTAAAAATTGTCAATTTTCATAAAGTGGTGGGATCAGATTGAATCTCAATCCTACGATCTCGATCCCGATCCTGCAATCCGATGTGCGATCTTACATATAAAGCAATCCTATTATGATTCGATGCGATTTTCATAGATAGGATCTTAAGATCTTACGATCCTATGATCAGGATCGAGATCTTGACAAACTTGTTGTAAACATCATTTTTAATTTATTGATTTTTTTATATTATTTTAAACTTAGGGATTTTTTATAAGCCAATAGTTCAATTAACCTTTTTTTAATGCAAAGGCAAATGCCCTTAAGTCATTTTCCTACCTTTCACTTTTCCGGAAAACTCCAATTTGTGACCGACTTTCTTCACATCGTTGTAGAGGGTGCATGGCTATGGATACAAAGGAAGTGGAATTAATACAATGAATCAACGTTCGTATGACAGCACCAGGCCTCGAATACTATCGTTTAAGGTAAAATTATGAAAGGATTATGTTGGTTAATTCTACTTATTATATATATGTATGCAATCAGGAAGCAAAATTTCGCATTTTGACCTAAATTTGCTAACTTGGGGAAATCTCCAGATTGATGAGAAATTTATAGATGATTAAAATTATTAACAGTTTATGCTATAATTCGGAAGCTGATATTAATCAATAATCAAAAAGGCGTATCTTATGTACGTACAATGGGCACTTCAAATGACGTTGGTTCATCTACGTTAGTTCCAGGTGCGATGAAGTTACAAATATAATCATTGTAGCATAGAGTATATATTATTGTATCATCTCTTAAGTAACACTCTACAAATAATCTACATTTAGAATTGTTCTAGAAACATAGTCCATCAAATTTACAGCAATAACTACATTTTCATCTTATGCTTACATGCTACAAAAGTATGAAATTTTCATGATGTCTTATTTCACACAAGGCGAGAAATGGCCACCCATGGTGTTGGTGGCAATTTTATTGATATTGGGGACTTAAAAACCCCTGCCAAATTACATTACCATACATCTAGCCCTAAATAAGAACAGTAATAGGTCTGTTCAAGATAATTAAGATACATACAAGGAAAATAAGTCAAAAAGAAAAATTAGATGAGAAACTATGTATGTCTATTTGTTTTGCAAATTTGCAATGAACACCACAATCTTCACATAAACCCAATCGCTGAAGCTATCATAAAAGTGAAAAAAAGCATGTCTCCCACGACGATTGAGAAGTAAAGCCCCACATGTTATCCAAAATCCAGTGACAAAACCAGTTCCCCCACCAATATAGAACCATCCCCATCCTTCATCTATGTCTTCCCCATCACCCTCGGTTTTACCATTGACTGATGTTGCTTCTGATTCTTCATCTCCTGGACATTTTCTGGAAAGGGGAGGTCCACAGAGTCGTCTGTTGCCATTGTATCTTGAAGGTTCAAAGGACTGGAGTTGGGTGCTTGTTGGGATTCTCCCTGACAAGTTGTTAAATGACATGTCTAGGTCATTCAATAAACTCATTTCAGACATGCTTGATGGCATCTCTCCTGACAAGTTGTTTCCAGATAAATCCAAAGTTTCAAGTTGTTTCATCTGGCCAATTGTCAGTGGAATCTCTCCAAGTAGAGAGTTGTTTGATAAGCTTAATGAAATCAGTTGATAAAGATTGGTAATCTCATATGGGATTTGACCTGTTAAATTGTTGCTTGACAGGTCAATGCTCTTCAAAAATCCTAGATTTCTGAAGAATTCACGCTCATCTCCCTGCCAATCAGTCATCGCATGGTCAACATATTCATTTAGAACAGAATTTCCTTCAAAATCGATTGTCGATGTCCCTTCAGTGAAATGCACATTTTGGGGGTTTCCTCCTTGAGCCATGCTTGTAAGATTATTCAAACATGAGGGGATGGTTCCATTGAGATGGTTCTTTGACAAGTCTAGAATTTAAAGATTTGCTAATTCACATAACTGCAGTGGAATTGTTCCAAAGAAGCTGTTTGATCTTAGGATAACAACATACAACCCTGATAAGTTTTCCCCAATCCAAACAGGCACATTACCAGAAAACTTGTTGGCCCCCAAATTCAAAAAACTTAAACTCGTGCAATTCTTTAAAGACAGACAATTCTCCAGAGAAGTTGTTCTTGTACAAACACAACACCTCTAATTCTATCAAAGATGCAATGGAGGGAGGAAGCCTTCCAGATAGATTGTTGTCTGCTAGGTTGAGAACTTTTAGTCTTCTAAAATGCCACAAACAGTTTGGAAGTCGTCCGCTTAGGAAGTTACCTGAGAGGTCAAGAAATTCTAACCACCCATCGACAATTTGGCATAAAAAGGAGATTCCTCCAGAGAATTTATTTCTAGAAAGATTTAACCATGCCAAACTGGAAGGAAAATTAGGTATCGGACCATAAAATCTGTTGGAACTAAAATCTATCATAGAATAATTATGAAAAGTTGATAAATCTGGTGCTTTCCCGCTGATGTTGTTGGAAGAGAGATTCATATATCTTAATTAATAAGGCCACAAGTCCCAAAAATCCATAGGAATGGTGTCTGAAATTTTATTATTGGAAATATCAAGATAGGTAAGGGTGCGTTTAGTTGCGGAAAAATGGGTCGTTTTCCGGAAAAATTTTCCAAGAAAAATGAGAATTTTGAAAACGCGTTTAGTTCGTTTATTTTTCTAAATTTTTTACGAAAAATGAAAATTCCGTTTTCTAAAATTACAAAGAAGTGGGAAATTTTTGGAAAACCAATAAGCATTGTTTTCCACATTTTTCTAATCCAAAATCTAAAATATAACACACACTCACTCCCATCTCTACCTACCCCCACCTCTACACCTCCAACCCACCATACCCCTACCTACCCACACCCACACCCACCCACTCCCAAGCCCACCCCTATAAACATACACACATACACACCTCCAACCCACCATACCCCTACCCCCCCCCCCCAACACACACACACACCCACCCACCCACAAACACACACAGAAACACAAGGTCACCCCCACAAACACACACACACATAAACAAACACCCACCCCTACCCCCAAACACACACACATACACACATACACATACACACACCCATCCCCACCCCCACTCAATCCCCTACAAACACACACACACACACACACACAAACCCACATCTACCCCACCCCCACAAACACACACACACACAAACCCACATCTACCCCATCCCCACAAACACAAACACACACAAACCCACCCCCACCCCCAAAAACACACACACACACACACCCACACCTACACCCACCCACCCACCCACCACAAACACACACACACACACACAAACACACAAAGACACACCTACCCACCCAACACCACTACCACAATCACCGACCTACCATCACCACCACCACTACTCCATCAGCACCACCACCACCACCGTCGCCACTGCCATCACCACCACTGCCACGATTTCCGCCACCACCACCTCCTGTTATCACCACCACCGCCGCCGACCCGCTACCACCGCCGCCCCCACCCCCACCCTACCACAGCAACTGTTTTCTAAAAATGAAAACCAATAGAAAAATACACATCTAAACACGTTTTCTAATTTTCTAAAATTGAAAATGAAAAACGAATAAGTTTTAACTAAACGCGTTTTCTAAATTTTTCAATGAAAAATGAAAACGGAAAATGAAAACTGAAAAGGGAAAACGAAAAATAGAAAATGAAAACTGTTTTTCCGTAACTAAACGCAACCTAAGATTTTTGAGTGTTTGAATCCATTTCGGAAAGCGAGGACCTAGACTGCAAGAGCTCATATCAAGATAGTCAAGATTTGTCAATGTTTGGATCGCATCAGACAGTGGCCATGTAAATTGATTATGAGAAACATCCAACTTTTGTAATGAAAGTGATGTGCATCCAGACAAGTTGTTGAGAAAAACATGAAATTCAACAACTAGAGAGTTGTTATTCAGATTTAAAGACGTCAAACTACAGAGGTTAACAAAATATTTGGGTATCCCATCTAACATGTTGCTAGAGAGATGAAGTTCTTAAAGGTTATTGCTAGTTAATGGGAGCAACCAACGATACATGGATGAGGTGAGAGTGTTGTTTTTGAGAGAAAGGAAAGAAATAGATGAAGGAGAAGAAGAGTTGAGAAATGAAGAATACGGATAAATGACCTGTGACAGCTCACATCCATCTAAACTTAAATATGATAGTTTCCGGAGACTCATAATTACATTCACCCAATGATTTTGTTTGGCTAGGGAAATCCCATCCATAGCAAGTCCCCTCAAATGAGATAGAGGATACAACCAGTGTATGTTTTCAGCTCTACATCTTCCAACATTTGAAAGGAGAAGCGCTTGCAAGTTGGTGAGGTTTCCAAACTCTGGAAGAATGGTTCCATAAAGAGAGTTATATGAAAGGTCAAGGTGCCTTAATTCGGTCAAGGAACCAATTGATCTGGGAATGATTCCATTAAAATCATTCTCGCTAAGATCAAGGTACCTTAACTGAGTCATGGAACCAATGAAGGTGGGAATGGTTCCATTAAAAGAATTGGCAGAAAGATCAAGATGATTCAGGTAGCTTAAGTTTAGCAATGAACTACTAATCTCATCTTCAAGCTCACATAAGTCAATATCAAGCCCTGTGACGTGACCTGTTTGGTTGCTGCACATGACCCTTTCCCAATTGCAGCAGTCATGTTCGTCAGCTCTCCATGTAGAGAGACAACCTTTGGGATCTTGAAGGGGAGCTTTAAAATGAAGGAGAGCATGTCTCTCTTTATCCAAACACTTCTTCATATTAACACCATTTTTATCATCTCCTCCTCCTCCCACATCTACCAATTGGCTGGCAGTTGTAGTCACAAGGGTTAGCACGAGAAGTGAGAAAACTATAAAAACAAACTGATTCATATTGTGATTACAAATCTTGCTGATTTTTGGATTGTATTAATGCTTTTTATATATATATATATATATATATATATATCTATATATAGGTTTAGGTTCTATGGAAAACAAAAAACCCTAAAAAAAACCTTAAAAATCATAAAAATATATAAAAAAATACTTAGAGATCACAAAACCTTTTTTTGAATTTTTTTTTATAAAAAATCGTAGCTTTTTAATAAAATTCGTTGAAAAAAAAAATAAAAAATCATTTTTTTTTATAAAAAAAATAAGTTTTTTTTTCAAATTTTTTTCAACGAATTTCTTTAAAAACCTGCGATTTTTTCATAAAAAATGTCAAAAAAAAGTTTTGTGATCTCTAGGTATTTTTTTATGTATTTTTATGATTTTTAGGGTTTTTTTAGGGTTTTTTTGTTTTCCAAATAACCCTTCCCTATATATATATATATATATATATATATATATATATATATATATATATATATATATATATATATATATATCTATATATATATATAAACTGCCCAACGATGGTTTGTTTATATAGCTTTGACTATGAAGATGAAGGATTCAACTGAACGGCCTCAAATTGGTGGGCCATATGTTTAGAGTATAGAATACTTCACTTCTGTGGAATTTGAACCAAGCTATAATAATTAATAAGACATAATGAAGAAAATTTGAAATAAAATGTCCCAAATTATACGTTCAAAGACTTATATGAGTCTTGGCAATTTGTATTTATTATATATGCTTGTCCATTTGTGAGATTTTTTTGGTCTTCAAGTGGTGTGATATAAATCCAAAAAAAACAAACTAATGGAATCAGATACACTAACCATGTGATAAGATATTACTTGAGTCTAAGAATTTAATCACAATGAAATGGACTTTTCTTTCTTAGATTAATTAAACTGTCAACTTGTTTGCTTTTTTACTTTGTTGTTTAAAATAAATATTTTGATTAAAAGCGTCACACTTCCTTTTTTTGAAAATGCCAGAATTCTTTTTACCCATGATCTATAATAGTAAAGGTTTGTTTCTTTATCTTTTTTTTTCACTGAATGAACACCAAAACTATTTAAAGAACCCAGATGGGACAATTTGCTTCCAACAGGGGCAAAGTAGTCATTAAAAAAAGTTAACATTCTGATAGTCAGGTTTAACTTGAACCAAATGTGTAATAAAATGAAACCACAATGATTGCCATCTAACGAAATGTAAACTAGGACTAAATTTAAGAATTTTTGTAAAATTTACGGACCATTTCTATAATTTACTTATCAAGTAATGTATGTATAAAATGATGTTGTCTCCAAAGTGCTAAATGAACAATAAATGCTTATTCTTTAACATAATGAAAATCGAATAAGTGTCCATTTTATGCTTTTATCTAAAATTGATATTAAATAAAAAACATTATTGTTTTTTTTAATAACTGTTGTAAAATGAAACTACAATTCACTATTATACGACTAAATATATGTTGCTAAAAAACAACCATAAATATATGGTCTTTGAAGGAGTTGTGATGTGAAATGATGAGCATAATTTGTCAAGGATGTTGTAGAAAAACCTTCGTATCTCTGTTTTAGCTTCATGGCATTATCTTTAGAAAAACTCCACTAGCCTCCAAATAACGAACAAAGGAAACTCTAAGGAAATATCATCTTCTCATAGCTTTTATCTAACCATTTCCGCATACAACAAAATCCGAATGTAAGCAACTTGTTATATTCACAAACATTGAAATAAATAACCTCAATTTAACAACAATTTATGCATCTCATATTCCACTTCAAGATTAAACAACTTATATTTATACCCGGTTAACACACTTCATTATTTCATATCATAAACAAATTATGATAACTAGAAAGTAGAAAGTATCAATAGAACATAAACCCACCATTCAACGACAGAAACATATCTAGTGTATGATATCAATTAAAGAACTATTAACAGAAACATAAACCCACCAACAGAAAAAAAAAATCAGAATCAAACTAAAAAAATCAAAAGAAACAACATTCAACAGAAAATAATAGATATCAACAAAGGTTCGAGAGAACACAAAACATTTCATTTTCTAAAATAGTTTCTATTTTACAAAATTAGTATGTTTTACGCCTTCAGGTTTACATTTCATTTTCTAAATACCTACACATTTTTTCAAATATTTGTTTGTCTTCACAAATTTAACTTTTTAGTTTTTTTAATATTCATTTTTATGTATATAAAGGTCCAGGAAAATCAAGTTATTTAACATCAACCCCAAAATAGGAACAAATCAACAACTACAAATAAAGTTGTAATAACAGAATATGCAATTTATATTTATATTATATTATTCAACATTTAACGCGGTCTAATAGTTAAATTATCCACTTATATCAAGTAATGTAGTAAGATCGCCACAAAAAAAAGGTATACTCCAGAAAATTGAGAAAAGTAAATTACAAGATAACACAACAGAAACCGACCTTATAACACAATATACAATACACATCACAAATAAGAAATATCAAAAAAACAACAATCATATTCATACCATATCGTTTTTACTTAACAGTCTCTCCTTTCATAGCAACCGAAAGGGCAGCAAGACTTCCTTCTTTTTCCACAATCACTCCAGGCATAACCACACCTCGACTCCCCACAAAACCACCTTCTTTAACCTTAATCTTCCCAAATTTCACTTTACCCCCTTCACCTTCATATATATGTCCAAACAACAAACTTTCTCTCCCCACAGATCCATACCTTTCAATACTCACCATCTCAGGGTTCAACACAGCACCCATCCCATCCACATAAATCCCTTCATCCCAAGCCACTTCTGAACCCATCAACTTCATCCATATCCCAAACATAAACGAACCACCAGTCATTTCCATGAAATACTCCCCAACCAATGTCCTAATCGCCTGCCATACTGTGTCCATATACACTCCTTTACTCCAAATCATCACACTTTCCCCTTCTTTCTTCTTCCCCACAAGAAACCACTTCATTACAACACACATTAATCCAGATAAAACCCCGGAAACGGCCCACAAAAATGGTAGCATCCAATATAACTGTAGACCATGTTTCCCTTTCAAGAAAAAAGTTACACTAAGTGGAGTGAAGATGATCAACCCCATTAGAAAGTAGGGGATGAAGATTTGAAGTATGGGTTGACCGGTCAACATCCATAAGGTCTTGTACCATGATCTTGTGAGTGTCACCTTTTCAGCTTCCTTTTTTACCATCACATTTCCCATTGGACAACCGGTGAGATCGACTTTTACATCAGATTGATCCAAGAAGCTTCTCCAAGCTTCCGAAAGCGGTTTGTTGTTGCGTAAATGTTGGCAGATTGAGTAAACAACCGATCTTCCATGATCCATGGAAGCACTCTGGGAGCATGACGTGGCACGGATAACATCAACTTCATGACATCTTAGAAACGGATTAAACTCCAACTTTTCAGATTCTTCTTTTGTGAGTATTTTGTCGATAGTTATCTCTCCGATTTCCACGTAAGGGTATTCCTTTTCGTCCCATGGCTTTGTACAATCAAGCGCAACCTCACGTCCATTTTCGTCATTTGGCACTTCACGAAATTGAAATTGAAGAACATACCGAACTTTTTCAGAATTCACTCGACGACTAAAATCATCTTCTAGAAAAAGAAGCGGGCGTTTGTCATTTTCGTCTCGTGGGATTGCACCGGTTTCAGGAGGAAGTATGCCTGTGGGGTCCACTTTTCCGGAATCTTCATTTATTGCTTTATCAAAAGGTCTTAACTTAAACTTCACGTACATTTCCTTTCCATCTTTGAACCTAAACAACCTGCAAATGTTTGAATAGTAATGGAGGTCGGCATAGGAATCGGCTTTTCTAATGGAATCCCACATTGCATCCCTTACATGAGGAGCATGTTTCACATGCTCTTCACGTGCCTGTGCCCCACACACCAACCATGAAGCAAAGTCACCAATGGTACGTGCATGGAACGCTTTACCAGTCTTTAATGTCAAATCAAGAAGTGGAGAGTGTTCATTATTTGAAAGTATTCTTATTGCTGCACCACGTGGATCAAGCCTGGCATCGTCATCTGAACTTAAGCAATTGCTATGCCGGAGAATGACGGAATAGTTGATTCCGGGGGAGAAAATATTGTGGTCAGGGAATCCAGGAATGTTTCCATAGAGCTTTAGAGTTCCCTTTCCACATGCACCGATTCGATGAAAGTATCTTGCTTTCACTTTAAGGGTGGCAGCAGCTAAGTTTGCAGCAAGATTTCCAAGGACTTTTTTGTACTTTTTGTCCATTTCTTCGATTCTGTCATCTAAAACATGAGTCATGTTTTTAACCATGATCGGAGTTTGAGATCCAACAAAAACACCGCCTGTTTTGAGGATGGAATTCATGGGAGCAATTGAAAGAGCACCGAGAATGACATTGGGCTCAATAACAGCACCAGGTAGGACAACACCTTGGGACCCGATTACTGAGTTCTCTTGTATCTTCACATTTCCGTATAAATACCCTTTTGAGGTGTAAACCCCAGGGACAATCCGACTAAAATCGCCTAAATGGACGCCATCACCGATTGACACAAACTCTGGAATTGGAATCGGGTTGATTGCTCTTATAGAGCAATGATGACCGATCTTTGCTCCTAAAAGACGAAAGTAAACACAGAATGCTTCTGTCCCAGAAAGGAATTTTGCGAATTTTAAATGGCAGGAAGTGGATAGACGATTGCAAAACCACATGATGAAATGGTTTTTATGTTTTGATTTTGAGAGTATATGAAGCAAGATGGAAGTAAGGAAAGTGAGGATGATGCCATGAGAGAGGTATGCTATTGCAATGGTGAAGGAAAAAGCTAATGGGTTTGTAGGAATGTCTTTGAAGATGATGACATATGCAAGAACATTGAAAGGAAGCCAGTGAACAGATGCACATAAGCAAAGAAAGCTGAAGTGTTGTAAAGATTGAGGCTTTTGAGATACCCAAAGGTAGATTATGTAACAAATGGCTGCAGATAGAGAGCTTACAACACCAACCATGTAAATCCCAAAAATGTGGTAAAAAGGCTCATGTTTGACCTCTTGTAAGTTAATACCCTGCAATCAAGGTTCAGAAGTAGAAGTTATTATTGTCAACTTAAAAACAAATCAAGAAAAGAGATTAGTACATTAGTAAAACATACCTTTTCAAGTATAGGAATCTTGGAAACCTTAAATTCACGTTGACCACCTTTGACTGTTTGCAAGGCAGGAATCATAATCCCATCTTCTACAATGCTGCCTTTTTGAATCACAGCATAAGGACCAACACATGAGTTTTCCCCAATTTTGATTGGCTGTAAACTCAACACACCATTTTTGAACTCATGGCTTTGTATCAAAGCTCCTTCTGCAATCACTGCTCCTTCTTCAATGGTGACTAAATACGGGTCCGTGATATCAATGGTGTCAAGCAACACAGATGATCCAATCTTTGCTCCAAGAATCTTAAACCAGAGGTTGCAAAACACCGTACCTTTCAAATACACAGCCAGATTTCTAGACACAATATCTTGGGCTTTGTATAATGTCCACCATTTCACAAAGTTGATTGACCAAAGGGATGTATCAGGGGTTTGACCATAATTAGGTTGAAGAAATGAGTTCCCGAATAAGGCGATAGTCAAACAAGAGGAAAGAATGTAGAACATCCAAACAAGAGGGGCAAAAGTTAAAGATATTAAGAAATTGAAAAACGAGGTTTTGTAGATTAAAATGGTGAAAGAAGAAACTGAAAGGTAGATAGGAATTGTTAACAAGAACAAGAGGTATACAAGACCAAAAAGATGCAATACCCAAATAACAAACTTACGTATAAAAGTCGGTTTGATTGATGTTTTGACAGAATATGTCTTCTTGTCAAGATTGGATGAAGGACTTGATGACTCAACATAAGATTTTCTAACAAGATTTTCTGCAAAATCTGCCAGGTCATCAATGCAGGTGGCTGTGAAGATATCAATCGCCCCCACTGGAATCCCAATAAAAGAAGAAAGCTTTTGAGCAGCTCTAACAACTCCAATCGAATCAATCCCATAGCTTACAAGACTTTTTGTCACAGAGATGTTTCCGGTTTGAATTCCTGTTTGAACTGAAAGAAGTTTCTTCAAAAAGTTAACAATTTCTTTCTTAGATATAACAGAGACATCTTCTTTAATCACTTTCGGGGTAATAGACTGAATCAAAGATTGTTTCTGTGTGTATACTTTGATTACTTGCAACTTCCCCTCAATAAACTGTTTTAGACATTCAAACCTCTTGATCTTCCCTGATGTTGTCTTACAAATGCTTTTTTCTTTTATAAAAACAATCGAAGAAATTGTAATCCCATGTTCTTCTGCCACACAGGAATGAATGTGGTCCATTACCTCTTCATTTGGAACCACATTCCCTTTAACCTCTGAAATTACAACTAACCCCATGTCTGAATTTTCAGGTATCATTACCCCTTTAGCTAATAATATCTCTTCAGGAACACCTACAACTGCACAACAACCAGGGCGTATAAACTCAGACGAGGACTCAACCGTCTTTTCAATATCTGAAGAGTATATATTCCTTCCAGAAACAATAATCAGATCCTTTATCCTCCCTGTGATGAACAACTTCCCATCAATAATCCTTCCTAAATCGCCACTCCGAATGTACATTTTCCCAAATTGCCCTTGAAGTTGGTTGGTGAAAGTCTTCTGGCTCAGCTCCTCCATTGCCCAATACCCAACACCCGCACTTAAACTACTCACCCAAATCTCCCCTTCTTTTCCATTTTCTTTGTGTTCTTCACCTGTCTCAGGATTAACTATTCTAATGTCCATGTCAGCATCATTCGTTTTCACATACCCACAACAAATCCTTCCTTGCCAATCTTGAAAAATCGGTTCTCCATCTCCAAATGCACAACTAATGTAAACCGAGTTCTCAGCCATGCCATAACCAGGAGCCATCACTTCTTGAGAGAGCCCAAACCCCTGAGTCAACTCAATAAACCGTTTTAGGGTTTTGGATCTTATAGGTTCAGCAGCCACCATGAGAAAAACCATGGAAGAAAGATCAAGTTTCATGATCTTTTCCTTCTTGGACACCAATCTTCTTATCAAAAGCTCAAAAGCAAAATTAGGGCCAGCACTATGAGTAGCCCGAAACTTGCTCATGGTTTGCAGCCACAACAACGGGTTTTTTATAAAAGCTATAGGAGAAAAGAGTATACATGATCCACCACTCAGTGTACATGTTAGAATCCCACCAATAAGTCCCATGTCATGATACTGAGGTAACCAACTTACACCAATAATCTTTGAAGTACTCATGTATACCTTACGCATCAACTTCACATTATGAACAAGACCTCCATGTGTAATCATGACCCCTTTCGCATCACCAGTTGACCCAGATGTGAACTGAAGAAAGCATAAATCTTTTGGAAGAATCTTACTTTCTTGCACTAATATATCATCGTAGCTGATGTCATCACCACCTTTGAAGTTCTTGATCCAAGAATCTGTATGTATCCATGGGAGGTTAGGCCAGGAAGGTAAGTTCTTTGTTGTCCTAGTTAACATAATCTTGTTTTTTGCAGAATTTGCTTTAACAAACACATGGTAGTTAAAAGTTGAAAGTATTGCAACTGCTTTTGTTCTTGTAGCAATGTTTTCAATATGAAGAAGTGATTGGCCTCCTGTTTGTGATGGATCAGGGGGAATAGCAGGTACTGGTATGACTCTTGCTCTCAGGCAACCGAAAAAGGCATCAAGGAATTCTAGGCCAGGTATGTACACTAGAAGAACTCTATCTCCAGGGTTGATATTTGGCCTATTGTTTGTTAAAAGCTTGTGAGCGATGTGAGAAGCATTAGCATTTATTTCTTTATATGTTCTTCTATTTATTGTTTCTCCTTTATCGTTGATCCATATGTAGAGTGTTTTATTTGCAATGCGTTCATGGTTTCCCCAGTGTCTTAAATAGCCACCGATAGATGAGATATCTGGAAACTTTACACCTGGTTCTTCATCTAGTTGTTTGGCAATCCAAGAATGATAGTCTGATTTCATAGTGTATAATCTCTGGCAAGAAGTAAGATTTCATTAGCTAAAAAGTTTTGAATTAAGGAGTTTAGTTTGTGATCAATGTCTTGAATTTTGTACCTTGGTGTATGGGAATCTAGGTATTGGATTGTCACTTGTGAAATGCTTCATAACCAGAGAAAACGCGTAGGATGAATTTCTTTCTGTTAGCTCAAATGCCATTAGCCCTCCAACATAGAAAGTGTTCTTCTGACCTTGGAGTCGGTTTTCCAGTTTCTCATAAAACCCATCCTTCATTTCTAGATTAGATTCAACATGTTTAGTAAGATTTTCTTGGAAATGTAAAATGGAATCAGTTTTTTTAGCATACCTTGACTGTTGACATGAGGGAAGTACTTGAATCTTCTTTGTAAGATTACTTTCTCAACCTTCCCTCCAATACTTGTGGCTGCATCAACTGCAAGCCGAGTAACTTTATGGCCTACAATATCGGTTGAATTACCATATGACCAAAACAGGAATATGTTCTTGTCTGGGTAGAATCTTTGCATCGCAACAGGATTTCCTATTGTGTTAGGATCCCCTATAAATTCCCTAAAGTAATAAAACCCAGCTGCAATATGCTCCAATCCATGTATCTTCAACACAGTAGTGTAGTAATCTATAGTCTCCACTTTATTAAATAATTCCTTCTCAAAATCACTTAGATCCATAACCTCATTCACAGTTTCTTCTGCAACAAATACCAAAACGATTAATCAAAGAAACCCTAGTTAGTTAGAACTGGTACACACTGGCAACTTAACAAACCTGTTGTTTTTGAAGGTGATCTGTAGGTCTTTCCACTGTGTAAATGAAACGAACCAGAGATAATGAGTTTATCGAATTCCATATGTTGCGTTTCACCATTGACAATTTTGGCTTTGATTTTAATGGTGTTACCATTACGATTGACTGATAATACTTGCGTATTGCAATGAATTTGTACGGGAAGTTGTTTACTTATCTTATCCCAAACGCTCATATACCCGCCTTTAAATCGCCTAATCTTTCCCGCCATTGAAGTCCTTGTGAACTCATGAACATAAGCGTAGGGCATATCCTGCACAAATCCGTAACCTGAAGCCGTGAATCCATAGGCAACAGATTCAGGAACTGAATCGAGTCCGTTAGATTTGAGAAACGAAGGAGTTGGTTCGGAAGCAATATCGCTGACTGCGTGCACTCCGATTCGGCCTGTGGCGTTAGCTTCATCCTGGAGTTTTTAAGGTTAGGGAGATGATGGAGATGTAATCGTCTACGACTTTTGTGTCGACGTATTTTCCGGTGGTATCGATGACGGCGAACTTATGAGTGTCTAATTCCTCTGTTTCAGCTCCGATTTCTTTGGCGAGGTGGAAGATGGTTGGAGCACTATTCGCAGCTAGAACTTGACCTCCCAAATCGTATATCCTCCCTGTACAAATGGTTTAAGAAAAATTTTAAGCCGGCCCAACAAAATTATTGGGAATTGATGAAAGTGAGAAGAAATTAAAATAAATAAATAAATAATAATAATAATAATAATAATAATAATAATAAAAGAAAAAAAAATAAATAAATGGAAAAAATTGGAAGGCCAAGGTCCGTTTGATAGTTTCTGTATGGGAAAGTGTTGTTTGGTAAAGTGTTGTCTGGGAAAGTTTTCTGACTGGCAAAGAAACCATGATGTTTGATTGTACATCTGATTGACTGTGCTAAATGATAAAAAAAAGTAATAATTCAATAAAAAATAAATTTAAAAAAAGTTATTTAAAAAAAATAATAATCCAAGAAAGAAAGAAAGAGGCGGGGTTTGGTGCATAATTGTCTTTCTAGCCCATTCAGCCAGAAAGATATGATTTTGGGGCTTTCTGGGAAAGACATATCTTACCGGGAAAGACCCTTTTTTTGTGCAAATCAAACAGTCTTTCCGGTTCATTCAGCCAGAAAGATCTGTTTGGACCTGGAAAGATGCGTATCAAACGGGGCCTAACTTTTTATTCATTTTAGAAGGATTTTCGAAAGAGAAAAATAAAATGTTTACTTTCCTTCCATTTTTTCCAACTTGGAACACCAAAACGCAATTTTGTTTTTTTTTCTTCTTTTCTCTTATATTTTCCCATTTTCTTTTTTTTGTTTTGGCTAAAACTTTGAAACATGATGTCAGGATGATCATCTATATAACCATACTTACACACGAGTGTAAAATTTAAGGAGGGGGAAGGGTAGGGAAAGGAAGGGAAGGATATGGAAGGAGAAAAAGCTCCATTTGTAATGGAAAGGAAGGGGTTTCATTGTTAAATTTCATTTTTGCCCCTGGTTAGGGTATAGTTTAAGGTGTAATAGAGAATGAAGCAAGGGTAAGAAGGGTTTTTTGTTCCATTTCCAATCCGTCCAAATATGAGGAAAGAGACTACGTCTTTTTTCTTCTTCCCAATCATTTCCTCCCCTTTCTAATCTCTCATAAAAAAACTTAAAAACACCATTTTTCCTATCAATCATCTCATTTCCTCTCTCATTAAAAAAAAAAAAAAAAAACTAAAGAACAAGGTGTTAGAAGTGTTTGGTAAAACTAAACCAAAAGTTGGAAACTACCTATTTTATTTTATATTATTTTCATAGATTTTAAGTCGATTTCATTCCTGGTTAAGCAATGTATGTAAGTCACAATTAAATGCCTACCTTCAATATCCACGGATTCACACATGCCACCTACACACCCAAGTTTCTCAATAACAGTCACATTAGAGTAACCAAGTTTGCATAGTGCATACGCAGCCGATAACCCACTAGGACCCGCCCCAATAATCCCAATCCTTGTGTTCGTTTGAAAACAAGGATGTAGCTTCGAGAATTGATCTTCTATTGTTGCTCCAGTCTCCATATCTACATACAAATAATTATTGGGCTCTTGTGTCTTAGTGGGTCCCATTATTAGGATCATAAAGTGAAATAGGTGAAACGAAATGAAATAAGAAGCAAGCTACACCATACCTTCAAGAAGCAAGTGAAAATGTAGAAAATAACATCAAATTTATCTGCAAAATCAGTAGTAATTAAGCGTCTATTAATCAATCCGGTTTATGAATCTAACCAGCAAGGGTAAGGACATTGTGCAAATGCATGGATTGGTTTAATTTATTATCAATTTATCATATAATGCTAATTTAATCTCCCAATGTTCTTTTATATATATTAATATTTGTTATCCAAGTATCCAAGTCAGGATGTTGTTTACTTCTTTAATTTCAATAACAAGTTAGTTAAACCCCAATGGGTATTTTCCTAACCCTAATCACTAACAGTTTTGACTTAATTATGCGATCAGGTACTTAAGTCATGATAATTAAAGTTTGGAATAAAGTTTCCATATGATCAATTTGGTCGATTTTGCCCTTATGCAAAATAATGACGATTTTACCCCTGTTTCAAAAATGGCTGGTTTGCAAGATTTTTAGTATCGTTTGACTGGTACCTTGTTGAAAGTTGAAATTAGGTGACAATTCTCTGGTATATTTTTTGGATGATTTTAGACCTGGGTTACTATGGAGCTTTTGTGATGACAGAGCATCTACTTGGTACCTTATACTGTTTTCCAATTTTGCTCTGATTTTTTTTAATTAATCTTTATATACTTTAACAGTCAGCACTCGTAATTTATTTCAACAATTTAGCATTTTGATTAGTCGACATTAAACATATGGACTTTATCACATGAGAGAAAAAACCCATGCATTATTGAATTGGTCGCGATTCTCGAATCGAAATGTTATATATTATGTTATTACAACATATATATTACTAATAAATTTGGTCATAATCAAAGATGGCTTTAATGTCCTTATAAAGGCAGTGACCCAGGAAATTTGTGACATGCATGCAAACTTAAAATTTATCATATTATAACTAAATATTCAATATATAAATTATGCATAATAGACTTTTGCTTATGAAACCTTGTATATTGAGTTTTTTTTTAATTAAAACTCAACTTATTATCTTTTTCTCAAAAAGATATTGCATCTTTCTTCGATTTAGCCATTTAGAAACATTGTCAAACAAGACTAGACAATTATTTTTACCTGTTGCAATCTTTGATCATTCACCAAATAAATTTTGATATGCATTTTTGTCAACAATAATTCGACACGGCATCTTTCTTTTTGTTTTGAAAAAAATCAAATGTTTCCTTAAGATTTTAATGTTAAAAACTATTAGAGCCTCATAAACAACAACAAAAAACATGAGAATTATAAGATAAGAAGAAGAAATTGGCTCAATATAAAAAATCAAATATAAAGATTTTTGAATTTTTTTTTTCTAGGGTATCTCAGAAAAATATGGTCTAAAATCGAAAGATTACGATTAACCTGCTAAAAGGATCCAAAAAAAAACACATGTTTTTTCTCAAGAAAAAATTAAGATTTAATCCGGAAAAAAACTCAATGTATAGTTTGAGTATATTATACCATCAACTCTAGATATTCTATATGGGAGCTAATTTATTTATTCATCTATTTGAAATTAGAAATTTTGACCTTTTTTCCGTTCTTTTTAATATACCAAAATATGAGAGAGAGAGAGAGAGAGAGAGAGAGAGAGAGAGAGAGAGACCAATCCTCAGTTTCTTCCTTGACGTTATTTCTTCTCCCCAAACGAAATTCCTAGTCGCTATTCAAGAATCGACGTTGCTCCTTCATCGTTTGTGGACGCCGCTGCTTCTTTGTTATTTGTCGGTCGTCCAGGGGCGGACGTAGGATTTCATAGTAAGAGGTGGCATGAGAAATTTAAGTAGTGGCACGATAGTAAAAAAAATCAAAATTTTTTACACTGCGTACGAAAATATCACGCGTTGTTGGTGCCACTATGGACACCATAATAAAGTCGCCCCTGCGGTTGTCCTTCTGAACCGGTCCCCCTTCGTAATCTATCCCCGAATACACCTTAATAAAACTGAGACCCACCCAATCCATGCTCAAGGTGTGTATGCAGCGTGAATGTTGTTTTGTTTGGCGTGAATTGACTAAATCTGAAATCAGTCATACCCAAATCTTGACTACAACATCTTGTAGCCTTTCAAATCAACAAAATTAAATACTTTACTTTCAAACTTGGAATAACACCGGTGAAATCACCAGCGATTCTACTATTGGCCCACCAGGGGCTTAAATGATGAATACAAACAGATTATATAATCGCTTTATTAATTGTTATATATAAGATGTGATTTTGTTCATATTAATTTCAATGAAATGAACATAATCAAAACAGGAGGGTCGTAAATGGTGATTTGGTTGTTGGTTTCTTGTTATAGGTTTGATGGTGTTGGTGTAAGGTGATGCCAATGAAGAGGGAACATAGGTGGGGATGATGATGGTAATGGCCTGAAGTGGAATCGTGATGGTTGTTGATGTGTATGATGAAAGTTATGTTGATCTAGGATGGAGGAGGCTGCGTGGGAATGGTTTGTGGCGTGAGATAATTGTGATGATGATGGGTTGTTCTTAGGAGAAGACGGTGAGTATCTCCGGATTTATGGCGTATCAAGGATTGATTGTGGCTCGATGTGAATGATGGTGTGGTGGTTGGAATGAAGAGAGTGTATGATGGCAAGTGATGGCGAGCCTCAATCAAAAGAGGGTGTTGTAGATGGTGGTCGTGATGGTTTTTCTGGTCAGTGGCGGACACAGGATTTCGTAGTATATGTTGTCGGTGACACATTTTTTTACGTAGTTGCATAATAGTATAAAAAATAAAAAATTCGAAAAATTTTATATTGCGTCCGAAGAAACAGAGGTTGTTAGTGCCACTTTGTGCACCATAGTGGAACCGCCCCTTATATGCATAAGGCTGGTAAATGCATTTCCATTGCATCATACGGTGGGGTGACATCATAGTGAAAGAAGACAGGTACACCACTCTCTGGGTAGCGGTAAGTGTATAGTGAAATAAAGTAAAAGTCTATTCATTCGATTTGAGAAACCAATTTACAATATTAACCTTTATTCTTTTTTTATAGACAAATTTGCAAAAATAGTCCCTGTCGTTGGCAAAATTCTGTAGTTTTGATCCAAAACGAAATGTTGGTGCACCACTAGTCCAATTTTAGATACCTTGTGTGGTTTTGGTCCCTATGGTTGTATTTTCTTGTGTTTTTGGTCCACATCCCACCTAAAATGACTAATATGCCCCTTAAATAATTATATTTTAATTTATTTTATTTATTTTCTTATTCTTATAATAAAATGAAAAACAAAAACAAAATAAACCCACCTCTCTCTCTCTCTCTCTCTCAACACCATCACCGGACCACCCATTCCAATTAAGTCACACCCCACCACACCCTAAAATAAGACCACCATCACCACTACTCCGACGACGACTCTGTTACCCTAGCTCCGGTGGCAGCTTCCATTGCGAGATCCACAAACAAGATACATGTATGACGACTCCGCTACCTTAGATCCGACGACGAGAAGAGGCCCAATGGTTTCAAATCGTCGCATAAGGAGGTCGTTGATGGTAGATATCCAGTGGCAAAATGAAAATTTGGTGGTTCATGTGGAGGTGGAAACGACGTCGGAACCTTCCCCTTTCGTCGGCACTTGTGTCTCCTGCCACCGTCGGACGAACCTTCACTTGTTTTGGTTCCTAGATTGACGGCCCAACATTGTCGCCGCCTTCCTTTTCATTTCCACTAGCATCGTTTGACTCTGTCTGCGTTCTCCAGTGCCACATCTGTTTGCTTTCTTCGTTGCCACATGCATTTGCCACCCCTCCGTTCCTAGATCGACGAGACAGTTCATCAAAGAAAGAGAGATGAGGTATGTGGAAGTCGCTTTTAATAGATCTGATGAAACTGGTTTTGTAGTGGTGGTTTCGTAATGTCGTAGAGTTTATCAGAGCATCCATGTGAGGGAGATGAATGGTTTATGTTTTTCGGTGAGAATTGTTGTCGTCGGTGGTGGTTCCCGTCACCGGTGATGGAGGGTTGAAGTAGTGATAAAGGGGCTTCTCTCCTCAATAAAGCTGAGAGGGGGGTTGGGTTATTTTTTTGTTTTAAGTTAATAAAATTAAATTAAATTAAATTATGTATTTCAACAATTAAATAAAATGGAAAATATAAATTATAAGGGTATATTTGTCTTTTTAAGTGTAGAGGGACCAAAATCACTAAAAAGATCCAAAATTGGACTACTCATGCACAACCAAACATTTTTAAATTGGACTACTCATGCACAACCAAACATTTTTGGGCCAAAATCATAGATTTTTGACAACCACAGGGACCATTTTTGCAATTTTGTCTTTTTTATATATTAAAATTTTAAACTGATTTTAACATTAGCTCCTTATCTTTCCTTTTATATTCAAAATCTACCATAAATATCATAACCATAAATACATATAACATTAATTTTAACTTGTGTTTGTTAAGATTTTCTTTATTAATTTCATTTATTTAATAAGTTATATATTTTAATTTAACTTTAAAAAAATTAAAAGAAGTGAAGTGCGATATTTTCCAGAGTTATAAAAAATGAGGGAGATTAAAAAGAAAATAAAATTACATTGAAAGAAAAATGAAAGTTAAAATAAAGATATACCCTCCACTCTAACGATGCCAAGATCGACGAAGATTGGTCCGTCTTTCCAATTCCTTTCTACGGCAATCCATTTAGTATCAAAGCTTATTTATGGACCATATCAATAGCCTTTTATTTATAGTTGATAAAAAATAAACAATACACTACTATTAAATTATGAAAAAGCTCTATTCATAACCTTGTAAATTTACAAATAAGTTGAAAAAAACTTTAAAATACAATAAAACTCACGATAGACTTTTTTTAACGTTACCAAACTTAGTTTATCAAAAAAAAAAAAGGACTATAATAAAAACTTCTTTGTTTAATAGTATATGCTCCAACTTTGTTGTGTAAATCCATTTATTTAAATGGTTGAAATTGCTTGCCCGATCTTGTTTATTTGTATCGAGTCCGTGTAGTAATTTAATTTAGAGTTTAGACCTTATAATAAATATGACGTATCAGCATGAAACATTAATCGGATTGAAAAAACTTGACCCTAACTACATATTTAATTTTCATGTCAACATATTTGTTTAATCAAGTTGAAATCTTTTATACAAACATGTTTATTTCGTTTATATTTATTTCGTTTCTAGTTCATTTCACGCTATTATGTTTGTCACTTGTTACACGTTCTAAATCAATCAATCTCCACTTTTACGTTTTGCAACTGTCCTTTTTTACAGTTTTGCTTTTTGTTACATATGTTCCTTTTATTTCTATTTTTGTTTTTATATTGCAAAAATGGTCCCTGTGGTTGACAAATTTATGTGTTTTTGGTCCAAAACGAAATGTCGGTGCACCACTGGTCCAAAATTCGATCTTTCTATTGTTTTTGGTCCCTATACACTTGAAAAGACGATTTTGCCCTTATAACTTATATTTTTAATTTTCTTTAATTGCTGAAACATATATGTTAATTTAATTTATATTTTTTTAACTTAAAAAAAAGGTCTACCTACCGTTTCTCTTTCCCTCTCTCTCAACAAAAACGCACACACGCACTCAAGAAAGAACATATCACCACTAGTGGCCGCCACCATCACCACCGATTGCTACCACCGTTCGCCACCATCACCATTGACTGCCATCATTGTCCACCATAAACATTAATCCCACCCTCACCCCCATCTTTCCTTCCTCATGCCCGATAAAACTTCGCCATCAACACTGCCCTTCTAATCGATTTGGTTCCAATTTGAAGTTGTTCATTAATTTGCAAGAGAAGCAGAAAAGATTATGATGAATATTATATAGGAGCAAAAGTAAAAGAACAGATAGTTGTGTGAGGCTTTGAAGAAGAAGAAGAAGAAGAAACAGAAACAGAGTGTGTGGGTCAGCCAAAGGTGAGTCGTTTTCAATGGTATAACTTTATTTGTCTCTTTGTCAGTTCATCGAACACCTTATGTGCTTGACAACCTTCCACACTTGTGAAAGTGATTCATCATCAGAATCATTCCTTCTTCCAAGATCGCATTGTTTCCCCTCTTTGATTTCTTCTAAGCAAAACCAAAATCATAAATTCCTCAAGTCGCCTTAATCACCCACAATCGAACACCTTCCTTCACCCCTTTCCCGAACCACCAGATATCACCCTTAAATCGGATCCTTGAGAGCTGCGATCAAAAATACATACACACACACACCTATTAATCGAGCCATTAGGGTTTACTGGTTTAAAGTGGTTGAATCTTAACAGATTTGATATCGATTTCGTCTCCTGGTATGTCTTCTACTTCTCAATCGATTTCAAAAAGTGTGTGTGTGAATCCTTACTAAAGCGATGATGAGCTAAGAATTCTTCCAAATATGCAGATTCTTCGAGACCGGTGACCCTTTGTGGGTTTTTCTTCCTCGTCTTCGGCAGCAGAATCGCCGACCTTGGGTCGCTTGAAGAAAGAAGAACGGAGGCGGCATCCAACGATGAAACTCGAAGGGAAGGTGGACATAAGAATGGTCCGGTGGAACAAGGCAGGCAGGTAGGGGTTCGGTAGAGTTTGCTCGACGGGAGGAGAAGAGAAGTGCGAGAGATTAGGCTGTTGTCATGGCAGATGAAGATTTAGAGAGAGAGAGAGAGAAAGAGAGAGAGAGAGAAAAAGAGAGAGAGAGAGTGGTGGGTTTATTTTGTTTTTCATTTTATTATAAGAATAAGAAAATAAATAAAAGAAATTAAAATATAATTATTTAAGGGGCATATTAGTCATTTTAGGTGGGATATGGACCTAAAACACAAGAAAATACAACCATATGGATCAAAACCACACAAGGTATCTAAAATTGGACCGGTGGTGCACCAACATTTCGTTTTGGACCAAAGCTATAGAATTTTGCCAACCACAGGGACCATTTTTGCAATTTTGTCTTCTTAGGACATGCATATCGATATTTGTTCTATTAGTTTATATTATTGCCTATCTATAAAAATTTGTACCAACACTTGTAGGATTGTTTATTACAAATTTAAAGACATATACCTTGCAAGAATTAGTACTAATTATAGGTGCAATTCAACTATAAATTTTATGTCGTAAGTACCACAAATTTTATATGGTAATTAACTAACCAAACGCTACTAGAAAATTGGGTAAGTTGTTATGGAAAATAACTACAGAATTTTAAAGTACAATGCTATTATGAATATTAAAAGTAAGCTACAATGTTAATATACTATGTTGCTATTATTGATGAAATTAAAGTATGTTGCTATTATGGATATTAAAAACAAAGTATATTGTTGTTATGTGTAGTGTGTTCTTATAATGAATTAAAAGTAAAGTATAATGATATCATGGTTTAAAGTTGAATTACATTTACTAACTACATGTGTTTGTCTTGCCATTTTTAGGTAAATGAATTGCGACAATAAGTGTCAAACATGCAACAAGCCATGGATCTAAGGAAAAGTCAAATGGATCTGCAAATGCAACAAATGCGAAATGAAATTAAATTACATGTGCAACAACAATTGGCGGCCTTTATGAGATAAATCAACCTGTTCGGTAATCCACCAAGTAGTTCTTAATTTTTGTTTTAAAACACTTAATGAATGTTATGTTATTGACTAGTTCTTAGTTTTTTTCATGGTATTGTAATGGTATTTTTAGTATTTGAATGTATGAATATTATGTTATTGACTATTTTAACGTTAATGATTGTAATGGTATTTGACTATTATTATAATTATTTTTGTGGTTTTTTTGCATAGAAAATCTGAATATTTTTAAAATTATAAATTTAATATAGCAATAGATTTTTGACGAAATTGTATTCAATGAAAACCGGCAAAAAAAAGTCATAGGAAATTTGTAGGAAATAAATATTTTGTATTCTGTAGAAAATAAAATCCATAAAGTCTTTAAGTATTATGTTGGAAAAGCAGTGGTAGGTATTCAGCAGGAAAATAATCCGTAGGTACTTTGTAGGTGTTCCGTAGGCAAATAAACCCATAGGTCCTTCCGTAGTAAAAATGTTCCGTAGGTAAATTTCTAACATAATATTTTGTAGGAAAGTTTGTATGTAACTCGTAGGAAAAAATTACCCAGTAGGGTTTTCCTACAAACCATTTTTTGTAGGAATTCTGTAGGTAACACCTTCCTCCTACTGATTTCCTACGAATACTGTCGTAGGTAATTACCCAGAGTAGTGATCGAAAACGTCTTAAGTTTAAATATCTAAAATCAAAATAGAAGTATAACTAACTGTCATTGGATTATCATAATTGAACTTATTCTATCTGTTAATATTTTTTAAGATATTCTACAAATTTATTAATTTTTAATGAATCGCTAAATTATTTAAAACGTTCACTTAATTAATTAGTATCTAAGCTTTAATTTGTATTTGAATCTTTATGAATTATATATACGTCGCTGAAGGAATTATGAAGAATATTACATCTAAAACACTAAGACTAATATGGTTTCATGCATTCAAAAGAGTTATTTTGATCATAAATAAAATAGAAAAAGCAACCGTGAACTTACCTTGATCATTCAGAGACAAGAAGCATCATCTGAGCAATACATATTGGTTAGATGGAATCAGCAATGACACACTCAGAAACAGCAAATTTATAGAGGAAGAAGATGAAGAAGCACGTGGCAAATATAACTCATGAAGACGTAGACACAAAAGAATATCCATGCATGCATGCATAACCCTTGTACCTTACGCTGCAATGGACGTACTATGTAGGTTTGAAAGGTGTTTGGTGAATTAAATACTTGCATTTGATTCTTGATGAGCTTCAATAAATACTTAGTTCAAAAAAAGATGCAGAAGATCTGGGGAGCGTAATGGTGCAGGCCCAACAAAATTTAATGGTTGCCACAAGAGACGCACACATAGTGAGACATCAAGAAAGACACACATGTAAGTACACCCATTAGGGTTTGATTTCTTGATGTTGATCTTTTCGGTCTCTTTGGATTCAACTGTTGGTTTTGGTATTAAAGACTCTTCGATTTGTTTCCCAAAAGGAATTTATTACAATTTTGGAGGGTTTAATTTGTAAATATTATGGAAATTTAGGTAACTGGAAGAATCAAATAAGGTATTTAATTGCGTTGTTTAGGTTTTTCGGTTTGTTATTATGGTTTTGGGATGAAATGATTTGGATCTAAACGATTGTTTTCACATGTCCTTTTATTTTGTGTCAGAGTGAAATTGAAGATTATTCAAAACGTCATGTCGTTCTTATGTGTTGTTTCTTGATTTAGGGAAAATGAGAGATAAACATAGAGGGACAAATCATATCAACATTAGTATTTGCGTATCTCTACCATCTTCTAATGGTTTCATGGCTTTTCATTTGCAAACAGGCACAAAACGAAATTCGCACAAGTGTATGGCCATATAGTCTTTGGAGAAAATTGTAATAGTGAAGAAGGATCTCTAAGATTGCAAACTAGTCATGTATTTAGATCTGTGTTTCATAGTTCAACTAAATTTAACAAAGAAAATCGAAACAAACTTTAAAATAGTGAAATACGTTGGTTAACCGATATTCACAATTTCGTGTGACTTGCATTAAAGATAAAAATTACAATGAACTGAAAATTCTTTAAATTTAAGGAAAAGTTGAATATGGGTATGAAGGATCTTGGGACAACAATTTGGTTAAACCACCAAAGATTGGAGTTTTTTTTTGCAAAAATGGGTTGAAGATAAAAACCTTTTGTAAAAATGGATTGATTTTTATTTGATTTGCAAAAAAAAACTTTTTTTTGTGGCCCCACATAAAAAACAAAATATTAATATATAATTTTACATTTTGGCCCCTTCAACTTTCATAATAATCCCACAACTTATATATTATTTAATTTTTATATATTTAATTTTTTAAGTTTATATTTTAATTTTATTACATATACTATATAAGTTTATTATTCAAATTACATAATCGGAATTTATGTAAATATCAAATATTTCTTTTTAATCTTATATATATATATATATATATATATATATATATATATATATATATATATATATATCAAATTATTTGTAGAAAAAAAACAAAAGTCATTGAATTGTCATTCTTTATCTCGAAAGTAGATGTCTTGATTGTCACTATCCACATACAAAAGTAAAAGTATGAATTGTCACTTTCATCTGAAAATAAGTAAGTAAAAGTTAAAAAAATAATTATAACTTTGTTTACGTTTAATTCATTTTCTGATGTATATATTGAATTCACCATTTTAGTTTTCATCATCATTTTCATAAACCATAGTTCTCACAAATTTGAAATCCCAGCTTTTCTTCTTTAATTCTTCAGTCACGTTTGTGACTTCATACACGAATCTTCCTTCGCAACTAAATTGTAAGGTACATACTCTTGTCTAAATTTCAAATATCTAACGTGAAACATTATATATAATATGATAATTTATATATTTTATCTTATTGTTTATTTTGCAGTTACAAATAATGTGGTCTGCGAATACTAGTCTTGTAGATCTTCTTAACAATTATGGAGTATCACAGCCAGTTCAGCCTATTGATTTTGTCACCAACCCCTCCGAGGTACAATTTCCTTTACCTAATGGTGCTAGATGTGAGACAGATAATGACTTTGGATTTGATGAACCCAACTCCCAATTTAGTGAAGATAGTGTTAGTGAATCATTAAGTGATGTTGTGGATGAGTTTGACGATAATGTGAATGAAACTCCGATTGTGAGTAACCATCCAGTTATAAACTTTATGAACGATATTGGAGACGAAGGAGACGATGACATAGTAGATACTCAAGACAAAATTCATTTAGATTTTTAGAATGAATCTGAAAACAAAATAAGGTTAGGAACGTTGTTTGAAAATAAGGATCAGGTAAAAAAGGCAGTAAGACTTTGGTCGATCAAGCAAAATAGAGAGTTTAAGGTTTGTGAAAGTAAAAGTAGTTTTTGGATAGCAAAGTGTAAAACTCTTGGCGGTGAAGAAGGAAGTTCTAATATTGACCCATATACACCGCAGTGTGCATGGTATGTTCGTGCAATGAAAAAGAAAAACCATCATATGTGGAAGATCACACGTTGGGTGGATGCACACAATTGTTTTGGATCTTGTAGAGGCAATGACAACAGAAGTCTAAACTCTGCAACTATAGCCTTCTATATCATCCACTCAATTGAAAAAGATATTGCTTATCCAGTGAAACATATACATGCAAATATTAAAAATATTCTAAATGTTGATGTTTCTTATTGGAAGGCATGGCATGGTAGGAGGAAAGCCATAGAGAACATTTATGGAACTTGGGAAAGTAACTTTGCAGAAGGCATGGAATGGTAGGAGGAAAGCCATAGAGAACAGTTAATGCATTTCATCTATGCCGACCTGTTATTTCCATTGATGCTTGTCATTTGAGAGGTTCGTACAAGGGTAAAATGCTTATTGCTGTTACAAAAGATGCCAACAATAATATATTACCAGTTTCTTATGCCATTGTTGATGAGGAAACTACACACAGTTGGAGTTGGTTTTTGTATCAGTTCAGACATTTTGTTGCTCAAGACAGACAATTGTGTGTTATTTCAGACCGACATCAAGGAATAATTCACGCAATGGAAAATCTAGAGGAATGGAAAGAGCCATTGGGATACCATCGATTTGTCTTCGACACATCAGAAGCAATCTCATGAAAAAGTATAAGAACGTGAGGCTTAAATCATTTTGTTGGGATATTGGAAGCACCACACAAAAAAGAAAGTTTGTGAAGTATAAGAAACAAATCAAAGCAATCAATCTTGAAGCCTGGCAGTATTTAGACCAAATTGATAAAAGTCAATGGTGTCTTTTTTATGATGAAAATCGTCGATGGGGGTCGTTAACGACAAATATATCCGAGAGTATGAATAATGCGCTACGAGGAGCAAGACAACTACCTATTAGGGAGTGTATTGATCTTACATTCAATAGAACTGTGCAACTTTTTAGAAAACATAGTGATGTTGCAATGAATTGCAATACACATTTACCATCACGTATGTGGCGTCTCTTTCGTAAACGTGACACTTCTGCACAAAGTCATACTTTAACTGAGTTCAACTATAATGAAGGTGTCTATAGAATTGTCACCAAGTTACGAGTAAATGAAAACGGAGGAAATACCCACACTGTCAGTTATTATCAACATACATGCACATGTGGTAAGTGGCAGATGGAAAGATTCCCTTGTTCACATGCTCTTGCAGTTTGTCGTTTTAGAGGGGATAACCCTTTTTTCCATTATCAATCATGTTTACACAACTGTGACGTACAAGCAACAATATAATGACGGGTTTTCACCACTTCCTCATGTTGATTATTGGTTAGAGGCTAATTGGAGTATTCAAGCAGATAACTCAAAATGTGTTGTCGGTCGAGGTCGGAGGCGTGCAAATCGATTTCGTAACAAGATGGATGTTCGCCAACCTGCTGAACCTCGTAAATGTGGACTATGCCATCAACCTGGTCATAACAGGAGAAATTGTTCAAATTCTCAACCAAGATTCAATGCGATGTGAACCATGTAACTTTTATTATTCTTGTAATTTTATGTTTAATTTAGTTGTTAGTTCATGTTTAATTTCTTTTGTAGTCGTGTCTTTAATTATCTTGTAATTTCGTAATTTTGTAACATGTAATATATTCGATATTGGTATCAATTAGAATGTGTTTATTAAAACTTTCTAATGGTGTAAATCGCAATAACATAATAGACATATTTCAGTTATATGTTTTTAATATATACAAATTTACATTTGTTGTAAAAAAGCTTAAAAAATAAATTTTTTATTAAAAAAGATATAAAATAATATAACATATAAGTTATAGGGTTATTATGAAAGTTGAAGGGCCCAAAATGTAAAATTACATATTAATACGTTTGTTTTTTATGTGGGGCCACAAAAAAACCCATTTTTGCAAATCAAATAAGAATCAACCCATTTTTACAAAGGGTTTCTATTTTCAACCCATTTTTGCAAAAAACTCCCAAAGATTGTTCGTAGGCCTTAATCATGGTGGCGGTTGATGAACCTTTGAAATTACAACCAACCTCGTTTCCGAATTGTCCGGTATCATTACTCCTTTATCCAACAAGACCTCTTTATGAACACCTAAAATAGCACATAACTTTTTTTTGGAAACGGCAAATGATTAAACGGAAGCCTACTCGCATATTTCAACGAGCACCCCGGGTTCGAGCTCCTTTACAGGGCAAACCCAGCCCCCATAAGGGTTTCTAGGGAAAATTTCCCCACATGTGGCATAAGTTTAAGAGGCACCCAAATTGGGTTTTGCAGGGATTGAACTCTCGACCTCTGATCCCACGTGGGTATTAAACCCGGTACCTCTTCCCAGCTAGGTTGGAAGTCATTGGTTGAATATCACATAACTGGGTCGCATAAACTCACACTATAAAATTACACTATTAGTCAAGGGTTTTCTCAACATTACTTAAGCATATAGTCTTATGAAAAACAATAAGCAAAGTAATATATATAGTTGAAGGACTCATTATGTCACTCTTGTATATTTGTCTAGGTTATTTATTCTATG